AAATACGTATGAATTAGTATTTAACTAGTTACATAATTGATGTACTAAATATATCCGTAAGTAGTACAAAAGATCAGCACGAATAGTACTAACTCTGCAATTTTTCCGGACCGATACGACCTGGGGACATTCAAGAAAAGAGCTTACTCCGTTCTAAAGGGCCGGCAACGCACTTGCAATTCCTCTGGTGTTGCGGTTGTTCATGGGCTGCGGTAGTCACTTAACATCAGGTGAACCGTATGCTCGTTTGCCCCCTCTTCTATAAAAAAAAATTGTGATCATATCTTCTATCGTTCAAATAATAAAATAGAGCATGGATCTACCGTTTCTAGAAGATATTTGTAAAAAGCTTCGGAAAAAAGTCCAAGTGTGGATAAAGTTTAAAAAAAATCAACTTTATTGTAACTATAAACTTTACAACTAAAAGAACTTTCTTAGAGGTATGTAATGTTTAATGCAGTTAGTTCCCAGTGTCGGTAAAGCCTTTCCAACACGGGTGAAACCAAGTTATCATTTATACAGATAGCATTTATTCGGATTATATGGTTTATTCGGATAACTTTATTGTATTTTAAAACTGAATAATACATGGTCAAGAGGTTCTGCACAATCTGCTGTATTAGGTAAACGACAATTACCCCCCGAACGAGTTCCTGCCTTGTCTTGGCGGGGAAGCTTAGTAGCCGTGGTTTGATCGCCCGTGGTAAACTTAGATTAATCCCCATGGCTGGTCCAACGTGTAGGGCCCGGGCCGAAGAGGCTACTCCGAGTGGGCTTGGTATTGGTGGGCTGCGGTGAGAGAGGTGCCCTCTCCCCCTACCGCTGCAGTCGAGGTGGAGTCGCGGAGGAAGGGGATTGTTGGTATGACGATGCGCCACTCGTACTATTCTCCGCGACTTTGCCGGGGCCACACCGTTAATTGATGCGGTGGTGATAGGACTGTGGGGGGACAGGAGTGTCGGTATTGCGAAGCGCCGCTCTCCCTACCCTCCGCAGCCGAATCTTGGCCGCTGGGGTCAGGAAAGCTTGTCCTTCTAAGTGCTCATTTTTCCTGGCCCCATGGCCTTCTTGTATCGGACACGGGGGCGTCTGTTGCGCATGTAAAATTGGAGGCTGCGGAGGAGGGCTAGTGCGCGTTACCTAAGAAGGAGAAGGGGGAGAAGGAGGAGTAGCCAGCGCTGTTGGGGCCGCGGCGCGGATGTGCGAAAGCGTTCCCGTAGCCCTGCCAATATGCGACGAAGGTGAAACACCATGAGATTTTAGTCGGTGCGAGTCTGATATAACCCGTCCTTGCCCCGCAAGGGGTATGCGTTGGCATTTCCCCATTTAAAAGAAAAAAAAAGGTAAACTGCAAATAAGTGTTGAGAATCCACTGGATATAAGGTTTAGTAGGAGAAAACCACGTGTCGTGACCTACATTGAAATATTGTTTACGGTGTATACTCTTCTTGAAAAAAATGTGAATGTTTGCTGGAAAAACGTTATTCACACGCGCAGCCAGACGTTACATGACGTTACACAATAACAAACAAAGCTTGCACTTGTAAAACTTCCCATGCACGATGCATTCACTTGATATTGTAAAATTTCTTGTGCATATTGTTGCCTTAATACTCGTTTATTTCTGTGAATTGCTCGCTTGTAGTGCTTTGAACTGTATATCGTTTGTTCTCTTGTTGTAATGGATTTGTTTTGAGTGACATCACGGTCGTTACTGGTATTTGTGATGAAGAATTCCCCTTGGATTGTACAAGTATATCACTAGCCCGCCGCTTGATTTTTTTAATGTTTATTTGTTAAATAAATACACCAACGCAACCTAATGATATTTGTTATTATTTTTTTTTGTATTAAAAACAACGAAGAAGTTCCTGAAACATTTTTATATTAAAATCAGCAGTACTATATTATAGGTTCCGTACTTTTAAGGTTATGTTAATAAATATAAAATATCACTAGACAGTGTTGTATGTATGTATTATAGATATTTTATCACAAATTAAATTCAGAAATATTCAAGTTTAAATGTTTTTCAATCAATTATTTAAAATTTCTAGAGCTCTAGGAACCCAAACACCTTTCCAGTTACATTTGTTTGGAGTTGCATAAAGCCTTCTTAATAGCGTTGCTTCTTCTTCTTCGAAATAGAATTCTTCTTCTTATAAATCCACTACTGGACATTGGCATCTACTGTTGCAGGATTTGCCATAATCGTCATGCAAGATGCGATAGATCGAGGATACAAGGATTATCGAAAGCCGTAGGATTTTACGAACTTTTTTATAGAGTAAGGGTAAAAACGAACACATAGTAGACCTGATAGTAACTAAATGATGCGATCCATAGACCTGCTATAGACATTTGTCCTTGAGTAAGAATAAAAATGCCTAAGCGTTATCACCCTTGAAAAGATGGAACGCCTCGTTTCCATTAAAAAGGTTCTCTGGTTTGTTTTATTTAATTGGAAAACTTACAGCTAAAAGCATCATGTAATACAAAAGAAATGTTGAGAAAAAAGGCCAATTACAAGTTTCACAAATAGAATCAAAACAGTAAACATTTCTCAAGTTCATGTAAATATAATAATAACCATACGCACGTTATACGAATCAACTTCGTTAAAGATATAATTAAACAGCGTATTCTTTAATTTACGAACACTGATGTTGAATAAATTTATGTATAATTGTTGTCCGCCATATTATTAAAACTTTTGCATGACATTATTCAAAATAAATATTGTTGATAGATTAGATAGTTTTATTTAAAGAGGCAAGAGGGTTCTTTATACATAACACAAAAGCATTAAGCAAAAGACATTTTTTATAGGATAAAGGTGACAAACCAGCACACAGTCCACTTAATGATAATTGGTTGTTGTGGCCCATAGACATCTATCTACATTTAACCTTAATTAAGAATTGAAATGCGGATCCATTGTCACCCTTGAGGACTAAGATGGAATGTTTCGATTCCAGTCAAACGGGTCTTCGGTTCTCCACACTCACCATACGAAACACAGCAACATTAAGCTGCTATTTTACGCTGATATTCTGTGAGAGCGTCCTTCCCCGGTTCGACCTTCCCCGGTCGAGCCGAACCATTCATGCTACTATAGCATACCACGTACAAAGTACAGTACATTTCCGATTTCGTTACGACACCCACGGGTCCAAAATGAGGTGCTGGATTCTATTACGCCGGCACTACACACACGTAATTGTGCACCGCTGTTAAATCCGAGACCGTGGATACCGTCAAGCCTTTTAAATTCATTATATACAGTATAACCGCAATTCTCCATGGCTGTTCTCACGGAAGTTGACCTTTCTCATAGTCTTTTGTACTATCGTAGTATGTTTTTATTAATTAAAAAAAAGGACGCAGGCACATTATCAGCGCATTGTATGCAAATTGCGCACGTTTGCTTGTTTTAGTGGTTTTAAATGACATGAATATTAAGTGTCTAACGCCCTCTACATTTATGGCAAGAAACTATGTATACGAATATTTAATTAAAAATTTTACGAGCTGCCTGCCATGGAAAATAATCCCTGGTAGACAATTTAAGCACGAGGCCTATGTTCAGCAATGGAATTCGATAGGTTTTGTACGTGGTAGAGCCATGCTGCAGTTATATTAATAGTATAGTTGTAGCACGAATGGTTCGACTCGACCGGGGAAGGACCACGCTCTCACAGAATACCAGCGTAAAACAGCAGCTCAATGCTGCTGTATTTCGTATGGTGAATGTTGAAAACCGGAGACCCTTTTTACTGGAAACGAGGCATTCCATCTTAGTCCTCACGGGTGACAACGCATCTAAATTTTGATTTGTAATCGAGGATAGATGTAGATGTCTATGAGCCGAAGAAGAAGAAGGTTGTTTGTATGCCAAAATTATTATTTAAATGAAGCGTTTTTTATATATTATAGTAGAGTTTATATTTGTTATAAAGTAATATTACCTTAAGTAATATTCAACCATGACAAAATATGTTCACATTATAATCATCTGAAGAACTATCCAATAAAGCAACAACTGCCCTATCTTTAGAACTATAAAGTTTTGGCGAACCACACAAAGATTATCGAGGACGAATTAGTGCGCAAAATTGTTCTGCGCGGTCAACAGCTTCTGTTATTTACCGGTACCGGGTGGGGTCGGTGTGGCCGTAAGCTAATTGACAGACATACATTGTGGAATTTAGCTTAAACTTCAAATTCTCTCTGAATACCGGTTATGATCCGGTATAAACTTTAATTTTGATGTATAGATATACCATAAAAAATAATAAAAATATTATTCAGAGATAATCTCAAATATCAATTTAAACTCCACAACGTCAAAATCTGTGTAACATAGTAATGGTCTATACTCAATTTTTTACATTGTGGAGTTTTCATTATAATTTCTAAGTCCGTTTGTCTTATTGGGAAATAACATGTTGAATTTTCTACATAAGACATTTTTGAGCATTGAAGTAGCGTGGCAAACAAACTGCTACATAGTTAGCCCTGCCAGAAATGATAGGAGACCTGTACCCTGTGACTTACACAGGAAAAGCAAATGATTTCAACACACTTTATATTTCATAGGGTATTATTAGAAATGTTTTAAACAATTATGAGGTTTCATATTATATACATATATTTTTTTAATATCATCGAGCATCAAATTAGCTTGCGCAGTCGAACTTCGCCTAACGCGTGTAGATAATTGCTTCGAAATATTTAGCATTTATGACGTAGGTAGCTAGGTAGTTTGATAAAGATAACTTGTTTTTTTTTAAATAATGTCTTAAAATAACATCTTGGATAAACTCCCTAAAATTGAATTCCATTATCGCGTGTATATAGGATTTAAATTTTCCGACACCGGCCTTTTGATAGTAAGTGACTATTGCAGTTTAACTTTAAACTAAGAAGGCTACAGGTGCGTTATCAAAAAGTCACTGATACATTTCTTGTTTCAATCTCTAATTAACTATTCATTCTAGGTACAACGGGTACTTACCAGCGGGCGAGCGTGGTCGTCGCCGGAGCAAATTTGTCCTGTACCGGCGACCGAACGCGAATGGAGTGCGACGCTCTAAGCATTACGTGGTGAAGACACCGCACAGCAGCAAGGCGATCCTCGACGCAAGCCAGCACTCCATCTCGTACACGCTCAGCCGCAGCCAAGCGGTCATCGTCGAGTACACAGAGGATCCTGACACGGATATGTTTCAGGTCAGTGAATCTCTTTATTACAAGGCGGTAGTAGAGATGTTCGCGATTCAACGATTTTCTTGACTTTGGAAATATCGCTTGGTATTAGCGTTGAAATTTATTTAACCTCCAAATGAGTTTCGCTATGCTCGGGGTTTCTCTGCGTGAATAAATTAGAAATGAGGATATCCGCAGTAGGACCAGAGTAACCGACATAGCTGAACGGATTAGTAAGCTGAAGTGGCTATGAACTGGTCATATAGCTCGAAGAACCGACAACAGATGTCAGATATACATATACACATCTGCATATATGTAACCAAGCGTGTTGGTTTGTTTTACTACTTTATACCCGACTATGCCAGAAGGATATTAGTCTAGATATTACTAACTATAATCCACCGCGGGTTAACCGCGCGGTAGGCAGCATGTTTGTTAGTAGTTTGAAACCTCTCATTCCATTTGCACTAAACCGTATCGGAATGTCGACTGAGGCTGTTGAGAAGAGATGAGCTGCTCGCCCCACGCCCTCCACCCATTAACCAACCACTATTCAATCTACATAATATATTATGCGGTTTTTAACCCAATTTAGATATTGAAAGACCTAGAGGTGGCACAATTCATCTACGTCAACTTATCATTGCTATATACGGCGTGTGCGTGAACCGCCTGATAGTCAGCTATTCGAACTGCGTCACTTCATAGTAAAAAAAGAATAGTAGGATTACTCCGGCGCCCCGCGAGACTTAAATGCCTACTGTTGCAGGTTTATCACTGTCTTTTTGTTTAACAGCTACGTCACATTTAGTTTTATAAGTAGTTATAATATTTACAATACATAATACATACGGATACGTATGCATCATTTTTGTTAATAATTTCTTTAGTTTCCTCTCAAAGAATCGATGTTTGTCAAAAAAAAATTCCTGCTTTACATTACAACCAATTCCAAATAATTCCGAATAAATTAACACTGAGCATATGGTGTCAGCTCAGATTTAATGTGTAAAATTAATTTGATGTGATGTGGTATGATAATTAATGTACTTATGAGGTATGCATCTATGTATAAGTATAGTAATATAACCTATTAATAAAAAGCTAATTTACTTAAACATACGCACATATTAATTTATTTTACCAAGAGAGAAAATAAAACGAAAAAGTCTGCTAGCAAAATTTTGTTAAAAGTCAACAAAGTCTCAAACAAAGGTGATTGCGGAGCGCGGCGGTGGGCGTTCCCTACTCGGCCCGATCTTCCCGACTTAGCAAGCGCCGTACTGCACGTGCCAGGCACGCACACATATTAGCGGCGTTCGGTACATTTCTTATGCTTCGGCCGCACCTGCGTGTATATCCCGAAGTAATGCGTGCCGAAGTTTCGGACGTTTTGACACTAAAAAGTTATCGCGATAAAAGATGTGGTCATATTAGCTGATACAATATTTTGCATGAACTATCGTGCAGTAATCCAAGATGGCCGAAATCATTTTCAAACCTCAGACGAAATAAAAATGTCTGAGTTTCAAACCTTTAACTATGGACGACGCATTTCTTTACTTCTACCATGTGTGCTAACAATTACGTAATGCATTTATTAAAATCTAAAAAGAAGGAACGTAAAATCTAAAAAAAGGAATTCCAGTACCATTTCATCACTCCCACTCCAATTTACACAGCCACCTGCATGTGTCTGTATTAATCGAAAACAACGGCCGGATTGTTCGGGACGATAGCCGATAATAGCCGGTCACATCTGCGAGTATCGTGTCGCTTTGTAGTGATAGACGCAGATGCGACGCTAGCATTAGAATATTGCCTACTATACTGTTTTTACTATGGTCAAGCGCAGCTAGCCCCTACCAAGTACCCCTCCGGCTACTAGCCGCTAGTGAGTATGAGCGACAAACGTGTTGGCAGATTTTAAAGTGCGACGTATTGTTTATTTCGTCCTTATCACTGAAGCCTTAACATAAATACACTACCATAAGACACCTGCTTGAAGATCAAATATACTGACGAAAGTGTTATTTTATTACTTAAGGGGAAATATAACCTCAAATGGCTTAGCAAGATCCTCTGTTATGCCGAAATTATTGCAGAATTAATTTTGAAATAAATATATGGTAAAGTTGAGGATTAATTTTAAGGTTTATGTTAGACGAAAACACGATTCCGTAAAATTTTCTCGATAGAAAAAAAATCCAAAGTTACCACCAAACTGAACAATAAACCGCTGTTATTCATAAAATACTTTAAATAAGATCATGAAACTTTGCATACTAACTGAACTAACCATAAAGCAGTGCTTATGTTATTTACTTTTTTTAAAATATCATTATTTTCGCTGTAAAAAGAAATTACCTAAACTATCGGCGCGTAAGCTTGGTTCCTGTCGCTCCGTTAGTATTGCTCCGGCTTTTGAAGGGAGAAGTTGTGTCGCTTACGATCAGAAAACACATTACGCAACAGGAAGACGTAAAATTAAAATGGGAAATAACCGTTATAAAAATAAGAAGCGACTGGGTTGGCGTTAAGAAACAGGCATATATATGATAAACATAATGAAATAAGTATCTAACGACCTATCTACTTAGAGTATTAGTGATTACAAACATGTCGGTACATAGCATACGACGCGCGGGGAAGTGGGGGCGAAATTAGAATTTGAGCTGACTTACTCTCACCTCTTAATCATTGATTTCTATAGTTAAATTATTTTATTTTGTTTAAGACCGTAAATTACTTAAGGTATTTTAGTCTCAATGTTTGTCCTCTTGAAATTTATGTATATTTAAACTGCCTTTACGATACAAGATGAAACCTAGTGTGGGGTTAAGCTTTAGAAAAATATATTTAGCGAACCCAATTAATTTGATTTATAAGTCACTAATTTGTCTGATTATTATCTTGATAATGATTAATCAGTACCTACAATCCATCAATGCTCTCACTCAATTCCATTCACATCCGTTTGACGGCATTTCGTTCTTTGATGTCAACGGGCGCATAATGATAAGTAAATAAAACTTAAGTACCCTTTGGGTAATGGTTAGTCTTTTGTTTACTATGAATGCTTGTAAAAATAAAGTTTAAATAATTTGCCAATTGTTAAGGCTTTTAAACTAGGTCAATGTATCTAATTAAACTGAACGGTTTCTCAGTCTTTTGTATACGGCGATTTATTGCCTTTTTAATGTAATTACTTATTCATTAATCTATATTTATGGCATAATTTAAATACAAAATTGTTTACCGAGGAAGCGAGATGAAACAAGTTGACAGAGTATAAACAATATTCTCATAAACCAGTTTTGTAGTCGTTGTAAAACGCCTTAGCATCGTAGTCGCCTAAATTGGACCCGTTGATGATGTGATTTTAATGCTAATTGTGAATATGTGTGCCTGTTTTTGTAAAGGATTATATGTACTGCATATCGTATTAAAAACAACGACCACTTTAGAACTTTGAAATGTGATAGCGGCTTAAAGGAATTAATCGCGGCATTTCATGCCGTGGGTATCGTAAGAGGCAATTGTGGAAAAGGCAGGTCAAAGAAAGGTCTCTGATAGATGGCGGGCTTAGGCTTAGCACGCACTGAGATTAAACGCACGCGTTTAACCGCACATCTGAAACCGCAAAAAAATGTAACACATAGCTTTCTATACAAGGGTACGCATTAGCGACTTTTTTCAGTGATTGATTTTAAAAACGTAACTTGCTACGTTTCGATCGCGGTTTGTAAACGCGCGATTTTTATGTGATCCATAGTAATAGTATGGCGGCGCACGCACTGCGGTTAACCGCGTTCGGTTTTTCATTCGGTCTCGATATTGCCATACGAAATGCAGTGTCTTCATGTTGTAGATACTGGCCCACAGCTTCTAATAATTTATCAAAAGTACCAATCGACATTCTTTAGTAATTAAAAAACTTATCGGGATGTTGTCGCACGTCGTTGTACATTTTCCAAAAGTATCCTTTCAGATGTCTTTGATATGTTAGTGGATGTACCCAGTACTTATGGCAGCGCCGTTGTTTACGTTTTCTATTTTTTAATTTAAAAAAAAATTGATAGGGGCGTACTCCAATAGTTTGGGTACGTTGAGCGAATGAGTGAAGACCGAATGGTGAAGAAAATATATAGAGCGAAAGTAAATATTAAAAGGTGTCGAGGTAGACCGAGACTAACTTTCGAAGACCATGTGAGCAAATTGCTCGAAGAGGGGAAGGTCAAGAGTACTCGGATACCTAGACGTGCATGTATGAAGAAGTTAATGAACCTGAAAGAAGCGAAAGAGGTATGTAAGGATCGTGACACTTGGCGATCTGTTCTCTCTGGCTACCCCGTTAGTGATTGTGCGTGAAGATAAGTAAAGTAAAGTAAAGTAATTTAAAAACCAAAGCCACGACACATGCTACTGGCCCGAAATTCATGGTGGTACTGAATTAAGCAAAACTCCAGTCGCAGTGCGTGGTTGTACGCGGTTTTGCGTTTTCAGCTATTCCTAAACCGATCGCGTTTAATCGCAGGGTGTGCTAAGCCTTACTGTCTCATATAATTTGATTGCAATACCGATAGCATAGGTCTATGTCCACGGTCCAGTAATCGACATTTACAGGCTGATGAAGACGGAAAGTAAAAAGTGAAGATAATGTTTTAATTACACTGTGGCATTGACGAATGTACTCGTATTTAATAATAGTGTAGAGTATCCAACCTACATTGTTCGGATTTTCCTAGCTTAGCGTAATTAGCACTTCCTGCTTTAATAAGCGAGGCCCGCAGCTCTGTAGACCATTGTAAACTGTACAGTTTTAATGTACACCGGCAATAGCCTTCGCGCTGTAATGGCTTTCCGCATTATTTTATTTCAACTATTATACGTTTGTAACGAGATAACAGACGATGTACGCAAGACTTGTTTGGCGCCGGATTTAAATAACCGATTTGTTATGACTGACTTGACTAGAACGGACAATTAACGCGGCATAGTACTATGTAAACTTTTTTTAT